ACTGTATCACAGAAATGGCCTAATTAGCCAGGTATGGCAGCAAATGCTTATAATCCCAGCACTGCAAAACGAAACAAAACTTCCCTTGCCTCTCCCCCAAACTCTAACTAAAACACAACAAACAGTAAAAAAAGACAAAAATAAGCCCTAAAAGAACAAACATGAAAGAGCTGTGAAAATATCAGTGCAATGTATGCGTAATTAGAATCCCAGAAGGAAAAGTAAGGTGATGGGTAGAAGAAATAATGGCTGAGAGTTTTCCCAAAGTAATGAATGACACATGCAAAACCATAGATCCACGAAGCTTAGAGAACAGCAAGTAGAATAAACACTAAAAACACTGCAGCTAAGAAAAAGAAACTTACTGTCAGATGGTTATACTGGTAATCTTACCAGTTAAAGGATAAATAATACCCATTTACACATTATTTTCCAGAAGAGACTCATGAGGTCAGCATTACTCTACAGATACCAAATCAAATGGAGAGACTAAGACTCCAGACCAATATTCCTTGTAAATACAATGCAAAAATTCCTAGTAAAATATTAGCAAAACAAATACCAAAACACAGCACCTATTAGAATGGCTAAATAACCAGTGATAATTCCCAGTGTTCACAGTCTGGTATGTTGCCAGTCGGAATGCAAAATAATAGTAGTAATACTTATGAAAGTTTATCAGCTTCTTTAGAATTAAGCAGATAGGCTGGGGTCTTAGCTCAGTGGTTCTGCTGCCTGCCTTGCAAGTGCAAGGACCAGAGTTTGATCCCTGGTACCGAAAAAGGAAAAGAATTAAGCAGATGCTTTAAAATGACATAGTGCCCTGTGTTCTCATACCAACTACCTGGAGTTAGGCCAAACTTCCCAGGTTCAGGGCAGAGTGTCCCATTAGGCTATCCTCACTTCAGATACCTGCTTCAAATTTAAAGATCCCCAAGCCACTGCCACTTCTAGCCAGCTGGGTGCAAGTTTAGGGAGCCCCACCATTCCACGCAGGTTTGATAACCCACTACAACAATGCATAGCACCGGGGAAAGCACTTATGATTACAATTTTATAACAAAAGGATACAAACATGAACCAGCCAAGAAGAGGGGCACACAGAGTGAGATCTGTGAGGGTTCCAAATGTGAAGATGTCTTATCCTCCGTAAGTGACCTCAATAGCACACTTACACAATGATATAGTGCGGCCAACCAAGAAGCTCCTTCGGTCTTTGATACCCAAAGTTTTTACTGAAGTTTCAATAACAAGCATGGCTGATTTACTGGCAATCAAGCTGGTACCTTATTCTAATCACATGGTTGGCCTTTCTGGTGTGAAGCCCACATTCTGAGTCATCTTGTTAGCATAAACGAGGTCCTCTCTAAGTAACTGTTTATCACTTGAGGAATTCCAATTACAGGATGTTTCTGAAGAATTGAGGCAAGAGGCCAACCAGTCTCATCACACACAGCAATGCCACCCATAGGCATTTAATACCATGCAGAATAAAGTTATGCTTACATAAGAATCTGTACACCAATGTTTATAAGGTTCATAAACACCCTAACTTTGTAACAACCCATATGGCCTGCAATGGATAAATGAATAAACAGTGGCATAACTATATAATGTAATATTACTCAGCAATCAAAAAAGGAATTAAGTACTTATTCACACAAGACAGATGAAATTGAACTGCATTTTGCAATATAAAAAGCTATATATTTTGTAAAAGGAAAAACTAAAAGGCAAGATGATAAATCAGTGGTGCCCAGGAATATGGTGGCAGTGGTGGTAGTGGCGGGGGAGGGGCGGCAGCTGTGTACAAAGGGCTGTGACAAGGGAATTTTTAAGACAGCCAAAATGCTCTACGTAATTCTGTGGTGGGAGATACACATTTGTCAAGCCCCATGGAACCATATACCAGAAAGGTTGAATTTTAATGCATGTAAATTAAAAAGTCAACAAGGATGTGAGTGGGAGGACAGAATGCAGACTATAATGATGATCTAACTGCATTACAAATGAATCACATAATCACAATTGAGAGGATAGGAAAGGAATTAATGTAGTTTTCAATCTAGAACCTACATAAATTAAAAAATGTATTTTAACATTATACTGAAAGGCTAATAAAAAATAACTGTACTAGCTGGGCTCAATGGTGCATGCCTGAGGCCCAGCTACTTGAGAGGCTGAGGCAAGATCACTTGGGCCCAGGGAATTCAAGCCCAGGCTAGGAAACGTTTGAAAACCCCATCTCAAAAACAAAAAAAAACAAACAAATAAAAACCAACTTCAGTAAACAATCTGTAACCTAAGTGATAACTTTTTTGCACAAGAGTACAGGTCAACAGTTCTGAAAGTACTTTTTTTTTTAAAACTAGGGTTGAACAAGTAAATAAATATACTATAGCTAAGCAAAGCCAGGCTTGTTCCTGCTAAATATTACAAATAAGAGCTGGGGATTTAGCTCAGTGGTTCCACCACCTACCTCACAAGCACAAGGTCCTAAGTTTGATCCCCAGTACAAAAATAAAAAAATTATAAGTAAAAAGTAGGCCTAGAAGGAGCCCTGTGGAGCTGTACTGGTGTTGTAGGTGTCAATACAGAATCACAGGTTTTCTTTTAAAAAAAAGTTTTACATACACACCGACACAGAAATACATATAAATGTGCACGTTTGCATGAATAAGCATATATTTCATCTACCCACTGAGAAGGACTAGAAGTGGTGATGCTCTAGTAACAATCAGCACATTAACACTCAGATCTTTGTTCCCAACACCATTCTCCAATAAAAGGAACTACGGCTCCTCAAGAACTGGTTGATCCCTTGATGAGGATTTAGCTCAGTGGAGCTGTTGCTTGCCTTGCAAATGCAAGGTCCTGAGTTCACTCCCCAGTATCACCCCCCCCC